ACTGCTAGGTAACAGGGGCATTCAGGGTGAAAGAAACTTTGCCTATTTGTGCGTGCGGGAAGTGCGGGAAAAATGATTCGTGCGGGAATCGAACCCGCGCCACAGAATTACGAGTCCTGCGCGCTATCCACCAGGCTACGAGGCCCCTTGGTGACCAAGTCGTCCGCATAGTTTAGCAGCCTGCAGTGTTGTGGGAGTTGCGTCCTTGTTATTCTTTCCTTTAAGCAGTTGAGGAGTACGGGGTCCGTAATGTGATTGATTTATTGATGAAGATTAAACCACCTAAGAGGCAGATCATTATAAAATATGATGCTTGACAGTTGAGAGTGATGCTTGACAGTTGAGTGTGATGCTTGACAGTTGAGTGATGCTTGACAGTTGAGTGTGATGCTTGACAGTTGAGAGTGATGCTTGACAGTTGAGAGTGATGCTTGACAGTTGAGTGATGCTTGACAGTTGAGTGTGATGCTTGACAGTTGAGTGATGCTTGACAGTTGAGAGTGATGCTTGACAGTTGAGTGATGCTTGACAGTTGAGAGTATCATCAAGCTGTCTGTGAACGTTTCCTCTCCAAAGGGAATAAGTAAAACCAGCAGATATTGAAAAAATATTTTATTACGAGATAACCATTTGGATATCGGAAACAAGGAATAGAGGCTTCCATGACTGCTTGATCTCCCCCAACACCCCCTTCCGTATGCACTAATCTTTCACTTGGGACTTGAACTCCTTGGCGTATAAATCTATCCGGGCATAAGCGTAGTCATGAGCTTATTTAACAGTGAATATAATTTGGCAGTGCTGTTGGGCTTACGGGCTATCTACCTCTTAGAGCCTAGACTCTCTAGGGTTATTAAGGCCACCACAATATATTTCTGACCAACCAGAAAGAATACTTTAGTCCTGGACATTGTTTATGATTAACGTACATTTGTTGTGAAGCTGGGTACAGCTCTTCGTGTATATTCCTGTATCCAGGGTTAATTTGGTGTTTGGCTTAACGGCCTCTAGTATGAGATCATGGAGCCTGATACATTTGCCATAAGAACGTTGAAGGTACTTGCTTGAGATACATTCTAGGTCGTACTATAATGTTACTGTTTAAGGTTTTTGAAACGAGCAATCTTGCATACTTATCAGCTTGTAAACTCCATTCATATATACCGAGCAGTGGGCCACAACTCTAGTTATATATATATTTCTTGAATAGATTTTTATGAAGGGCTAGTTATATATGCCCACCGCCTGCGGACATCTAACTAACTTTTATCCCTAACTAATCTAATCCCTTTATCCCTAATTTTAATCCCTAACTTGAGGGAATGAATTGCTTAATTTGTATTAACAGTTTTAATTCCACTGTTACGTCGAAAGTACTTGCTTCCTTGGTCGTTCAGTCTAAGGTCAATGGCAATAATTGTCTAAGAGAATATTGTGAGTGTCCAATACACCTCCCTATTATATTATCTCCCGGGAGCCGGTCGGCCGAGCGGACAGCACACTGGACTTGTGATCCTGTGGTCCTGGGTCCGATCCCGGGAGTCGGCGAGAAACAATGGGCAGAATTTCTTTCACCCTATGCCCCTGTTACCTAGCAGTAAAATAGGTACCTGGGTGTTAGTCAACTGTCACGGGCTGCTTCCTGGGGGTGGAAGCCTGGTCGAGGACCGGGCCGCGGGGACACTAAAAAAGCCCCGAAATCATCTCAAGATAACCTCCCTTCTCCCCACTCTGGGGACACGAAAGCAGTTATTAAACATATGAGCAGATTTGACATCATGCAAACATCACATAAAACTGTGATGATAAAATATTAATTATATACACAATGACACAATGTACTGGATAAGCAGGTATAGACACAGCTTACACACACCACTTTTCAATCCATAAATGATATCAGGTTATTCTAAATAAGTAATAACATGGGAAAAAAGCTTTTGCTAGCGAAATACCTAGTTACAAAGCTTCGGCTCTAGTTAGCTTTACCTCGATTAGCCTACAATCTGTCCTCACGGATTATAAAACCAAACTAACTTAAGCTAACCAAACCTAACCTAACCCAATTTAACCTAACCCAACCGAATCAAACGTATCCTAAGCTAAATGTAACAACGATATATATACGGTTTTCATAATCAGAAAACGAGCTTCGTTGAATCGTTTTGTGTATCATTAAAACAGATCTATGTAAGAGAGTACTGGACAACTTGTACAACAATCCCAGAGCGGGGCAAAAATGGTTGGGCGCATTTCCTATCACCTAATGCCGCTGTTCATCTAGCAGTAAGCAGATACAGCTTCATGATATATATGTGCTTCAGCCTACAGTTTAGACCTATTGTCTTATGTATGACCCTCTGTCCTGCGTGACAGTGAATACTAGCATTATCCTCACTATAATAAGACTGTCAAAATCCTCAGATTAGGCAAAATTGTAATTAATTTTGTCAATAAAGATGTTAATAATAATAATTGCATCCTGGGCGGGGTCCGTAATTTGACCTTAGCCGGGGGGGGGGGGGGATCAATTTTGTTTTTATACAAGAGTTCTTACATTCTTGTTCAGCCACTAGTACGTATAGCGTCTCGGACAAGTCCTTAATCCTAATATTCCCAAGAATATGACCCGCCAAATCGTTTAACAACCAGGTTCCTATTTTGCTGTTGGGTAAAAAGAGGCTACAATTAAGGATTGGTGCCCAGTAAATCCTCCCCGCAAGGATACGAACCCAGGACAAAGCGCTCGCGAAACGCCAGACGAATGTCTTACCACTTCACCACGGAGACATAAGCCAAACATGTTTGAATACACTCTAATTACCTGTTCCCCGACACAATAAATTATTATTATTACTATAATAAGAGTGGGAAACACCAATCGAAAAAAAAAAATATTCCTTTTAGTACAGCGTCTCGGATACGTGATACCAGACAAATAATTAGGTTGAGAGCTTAGAGAAAACACAAAAATTATCACAATTTTGGAATGAAATCTTGCCAGTCATATCACCTCTTTATACCTGGCGTAAAGCGACTGTACTTGGCGCACACCTGGTACACAGCCGTCACATACCTGTAGTATACCGTCACATACCTGTACACAGCCGTCACATACCTGTAGTATACCGTCACATACATATACACAGCTGTCACATACCTGTAGTATACCGTCACATACCTGTACACAGCCGTCACATACCTGTAGTATACCGTCACATACCTGTACACAGCCGTCACATACCTGTAGTATACCGTCACATACCTGTACACAGCCGTCAATCCACCAATAACTTATTTAAATTTTCTTATAAATTTGTAAAAATTTTGGAATATACAATGGTGAGTGACATCAGTTATATGGCAACAAATTAGACAACAATAATAATACTAATAATCTAACTACTAATGTATACTATTCCACTACAATTTCCACCGCTACTGTTAACAGCTAGTGCTTCAGTTAGTACAACTCATACTATTGATTGAATAATAATGCCAAAAAATAAGGAGAATTTAAAAATTAAATCGATCTAATAATACTGATTATTTACCCATAATTCTCGCGTAATTACCAGTGTCCAAAAATTCCTAGGTGTGCCCATAATTTTTCAGATGTGCCCATAACTGCTCAGATGTGCCTATAACTCCTTAAATGTGTCTATAACTACTCAGATGTGCCCATAACTGCTCAGGTGTGCCCATAACTGCCCAGGAGTGCCACAGGGCAGCATCTTAGGATCTCTCTTATTTCTTATATACATCAATGATTTGACAAATGTCTCTAGTGTTTTTAAACCTACATTATTTGCTGACGCTTCTACCTTCATTTATTCAGACTCCATCCCACACACACTAAACATTATTGTAAATAACGAAGTAGAAAAAAGTCCTGAAACACTTCCTTGATTGTTGTAACAGAACTTATAAGCACCTAACCAGATATAAATATATCCTTGAAAATTCCTAGAGGGCTCAGTCTATGGAACTTACTCCCCAATAAATTAAAAAAAATGCCCAACCTTTTGTTTCCTTCAAAAGTAAAATAAAAAAGTACCTAATTTCATCCTGATAGTTTCCCACCATGTGCTCCAAACTCACACTGTATCTATATAATAATAATAATAATAATAATAATAATAATAATAATAATAATAATAATAATAATAATAATATTTTTTTTATTCGCTACAAGGTACAATGGGTTGGTGAGATTACATAAGACTGGTTTTACTACATTTTTGCAAAATCACTAACACGTATAGCGTTTCGGGCAGGTCCTTAATCTACCATATCAGGTAAGATGAAAAGGTACATTGCAGCAAAGTTTTATATCAACATATAACCACAATATACACACGATGAGTCACAATAACGTGGCTGGAGAAATGTTGACCAAACCACACACTAGAAGACGAAAAGGAGACGACGACGTTTCGGTCCGTCGTGGACCATTAGAAAGTTGATTGTGGTCCATCGATAATCAAGACATTGGTCTTTAGTGTATTTAGTGTTACAATCCACTTTATTTCAGGACGGACAGAAACGTCATCGTTTCTTCAACTTCTGTGAGTGGTTTGGTCATCTACAGTATAATTAGAGGTGATTACACTGGTGAAGATATATTCTTAAGTACTAATATTGGAGTATTAATATACAGTGTGAGCTTATAGCACAAGTTAGGAAACTATGAGGATGAAATTGAAATTAGATACTTTTTTGGCTTTACTTTTGAATAAGATATAGATTGGAAAGTTGTTTAATTCGTTAGGGAGTGAGTTCCATACTCTGGGTCCTTTTATTTGCATGGAGTGTTTGCACAGATTTAGTTTGACTCTGGGGATATCAAATATATATTTATTTCTGGTAGAGTGCTCATGGGTTCTATTACACCTATAAAGGAAAAGTTTCAGATCAAGATTAGCATTTTGGAACAAGGTTTTGTACATGTAAATAGCACATGAGAATGTGTGGAGTGAGTGTATGTTTAGAATGTTAAGGGACGTAAATAGAGGGGCTGTGTGTTGTCTGAAGACAGAGTTTGTTATAGTTCTGATAGTAGATTTTTTGCTGAGTGATGATAGGCTTGAGGTAATTTGCAGAGGTTGAACCCCAAGCATAGATACCGTATAGATAGATTATAGGTATCCCTATTATCCATAGGGATAGATTAGCGCGGAGTATAATGAGAGGAGAGTAGAGTGGGGAACATTATATCTGATTTTAGAGAGTATAATCTTAATCTTGTCTTATATTACCCACTTACCCAACTGTATTACTTAAGAATTGTAACGTCACCAGCATAATCAATGCTATCAATTTATATTGTAGTTATTATGTTGAACTCAAATTCTGCTACAATGTAGCTATGAATTATGAATACTTTTACGTTTATTAGGTAAATTTAAAACCTGCCCGAAACGCTTTGCGTGTTAATGGCTTTGTAAGAATATTATGCCCAATGTTATGTAGTCCCACAACCCAATGTACCTTCTAGTATATAAATAAATAAATAAATACATAAATAAATAAATAAATAAACAATTAAATAAAATAAATAAATAAGTAAACAAATAAATAAATAAATAAACAAATAAATAAATAAGACGATTATTAATGTATGTATGTTGTTGAATACAAAAGTGTAACTTGTTTAACTAAATGAAATGAAACTGTAGATAGTCCTTAACCCAACACAACCTATCTATCCCGGGAGGTGTAGTCCGCGTCTCGGTGGTTATTCACCGAGAGATTATCTTAGGGCTGATAAGAAGCACTCAAACACCCGTAGCACCAGAGACCCAGAGACACTGCAAGTTGTTACACGACCAAAGATCACATTCACTCAAAACATCTACCACCAATGAGCTATACTCATGCCCGTGTCACCTCTTGTGGTGGCTTAATCTTCAACAGCAACAGCAAACACTGGAAGCACTCATCTAGGACTGTTCGTGTCAACCTTAGAAACACTGTAGTCATACTTGCAGCTTGGTTAAAGAAAATGGTGAAGTTTCTGTCACGCTGCATCGCCAGTGAGTTCAAGTTACTGCATTTCTCACACTTTTCCAGCTTACGAAACGAATCTTGCACGAGAAAATTTAATCTTCTCTTATGTTTACTTCTCATTGGTATTTCATGTGAGGTATTTCATCACACGAGATAGTTTGCGCATTCGTGACTGTTTCGTAAATTATTAAATCCAATTTTCTTTTTAATGTTCAGGCGTTCACTTACGTATAATTAAAGCATATTTTGGAGATGTAAGCATAGAGTTGGAAGTCCCTCATAAACTTGTCACTAGAGCTTTAGAATCATAAATAGGTCCATATTTCACTGCAAATCTTATATATTATTGATTAATATGTCTTAATAACTACGTTTTCACTGACGGTGTTGCGGTTGTGTTAGCGAGTTCAGTACAGCTGAAATACTTATCGGGGCTGTACTCGTAAAGATCAAAGTCTTTTTTGTACTTAGCGTACAGCTTGCGCATGTGTGGGAGGGAGAGCTGCGAGTAGTACGAACACGCCACCTCCCCAGTAGTGGTGCCCTGGGTTGGGTTGTCCCATCGAGGGCGAACTTGAGCAGTTCGGTTGAGGTACTCGATGAACAGCTTGCCCTCCTCCGGGAGTGACTCGAACCTATGAAAAGGGCACGATGATTGAGAACACTTGGTATAGGATGTTTATAGGAGATCCCTTCCATGTAAGGGCCGGATTCACAGAACCCACGAAATATATACCTCCTCTTATTTGGATCATGTCGGCTAAGGTATGAAGTTAGGGAGCTTTGATGTCGACCTAAGTCCATTGTTATTAATGTTATTTACGACCACGTAGTACTTTGGAGCTCGTAAACTGTTAAGTGATTACTAACTTAGCCGCCATGATGAAGGTAAGAGATTAAGATCTCGTTAATGGACACTTTAGTAGTGTGTAAATCCTTTACTGATGACCAAATTGATATTTATAGTGAGCCCGTATTCATTACGGGCTCACTATAGCTCGTCCTACTTGGGAAATTTTGTTCAGAGTAGCTGAATCTAAAACAACAACCAAATTCATGTTTGTTTGTCCATTGAAAGACGATCAGATACAAGTGTTTGTGACAAATTACTAAATAAGCTTACTATAATAGTTTGCAAATGGAGTAAAACTTGACAATGAAGTTATGATTAAATACAATCTGTATATAGAAATCGCAACTATTAATGGAAAACAATATCTTCTGATTAAGACTTTAATGTCGTCTGTAAGCGTTTAACGTTTTCACTAACAGGATGGATATGGGGTGCACTATAAACTACTGTTCAGAGGATAAATATGAGTAAACAATAAACTAATGTCCACAGGGTGAATATGGGGGTGCAACTATTGTTCAAACAGCGAGATATGGTTAGAAGCGGCTACTATGAAAATGTAAAACAAATCATGCCGGTGGAAACTAGAAACACAAATCGTATAGATGCCAAGAAGAATGAAATCAATTAGAAGAGAATGTTTATTGATGAATCGACCCATAGCCATGAAAGTGGGACAAAAGCTAATATACGTCCTCCCTGCACCACGTCAAGACTACAACTAGCAAACCTCAGGATGAAGTCGAAGGGTATGAGGCAGGGAGAGCAGTGGGCCTCGTACGTCCGCCAGTGCTCATCGTCGTACTTGGCGTCAAGGATGAATTGTACGAACTCTGAGAAGGTGGGGCCAAGCGGGGCAGCGAAAGGGTTGTACGGCAGTATTACGGGAACCTCTCTGCTCACCTTGGACCTCACCTGTTCCTGCAGCAGCGCTATCTGTGGGATGGAAGGATTGTAGATAGTAGAGGGTGATTGATTGATGAAGATTAAGCCACCCAAAAGGTGGCACGGCCATGAATAGCCCGTAAGTGGTGGCCCTTTTAAGCCATTACCAGTATCAAGAGCTGATACTGGAGATCTGTGGAGGTGCGACTGTACCCTGCGTGACGGGAGATGTCTCCCGTATAGTAGAGGGGTTGGGGAGTTTATGGTAAAATTATAATTCATATGTGCTATACTAAGCTTAGGAATGTTTCAGTTTGGTTTTTAGCTTTATTTTTCAGATTACAAAATTAAAAGTAAATTTTGTTTATTATTAATGATCCATCACTACATATTGGTAATTTCGACAATGAATGGTGCATTCTTATTTAGGTAGTACAGTAGATTTTCTAGAAAGTCGTGTGCCCCTCTGAGTACGTAGTTGTGCTTGTTTGTGTGACTTGTAGTTCTTGGGTTATTGGAGCCTGGGTTGTAGGCATTTTATGGGTGACATATGGAGAGTGGACTTGAACAAACCTTTGCTGTAGTATAGGATTAATAGTGAGCGTGTTCTGTGCGTTTTCTGTGTTGACTAGAATTAATCTAGCTGTTGATTCACGGGGGGACTGTACAAGCGCATACCCTATGTGTGTTTCTTATTTGTATTTTATTTATTTATATATTTACACAAGAGTTCTTACATTCTTGTACAGCCATTAGCACGCACAGCGTTTCAGGCAAGCCCTTAAGTCTATGTTCCCCCGGAATACGACCCCGCCAAATCGTTTAACACTTACTGATGGGTACACAGAGGTTACAGTTAAGGAATGACGCCTAGTAAATCCTTCCCGGCCAGGATTCGAACCCAGGATAGAGCGCTCGCGAATCACCAAGCGAGTGTCTTACCAACTACACCACGGGGGACTCTTAAAGCAGAAATTAGATTCAGCTACTTGGAACAAAAGTTCCAAGTAGCATGGGCTATGGTGAGCCCGTAGAGGACTTGCCTGGCACAGGAGCGGGGCTGTAACTTGGGTCTGCACTGGCACCCACACACTTACACATAAACAAACTCAACCCACCTCTTCCACTCCCCCCAATCGCTTCTCCCCACAATTCACCTCAGCTCCTCACCTGTTTAATGGAGAGGTGAGATGGGAACTTCCTGTACCGCCTGACCATCTTCTCGCCGTAGTTCAGGTAATAGTAGCTCTTGCTGGCGCCCTGGAACTTGTTCCTGTAGCAGGAGAGGAGACGTTCGAACGGGTGTCGAACCACCATGAAGCGAGTAGCGTGAGCAGTGATCTGTCGGGGTGGACGGATGAACGCTGATTAGACAAATCATTGTCAATTAGACAGTGATCTGTCTAGTTAAATATTACTGGTAACGAAACAAAGAAAGTCAATGGCTCCTATTTAGTGCATTCGAATAACAAAGACAATACAAATAACAAAGGTAATATCCATAACAAAGGCAATACGAATGACAGGCAATAACGAATTAAAATAAATGATTTAAACTTATAGAGAAAGTCATAACATTATTAGATTGATTGCTAAGAGGCAGGGACCAGGACCAAGATCTCGAGAAGGGATATGTACACATAGATCTAACCCGCTTCTCCACAGCACCGCTCCTGTGCCAGGTAAGTTACGGGCTCACCATAGCCCGTGCTACTTGGAACTTGTTCCGAGTAGCTGAATCTATAACAACAAAACCCGCTTCTAGGTGTATATACACTGAGAGTTTACTTTAGTCCTGGACTATGTTCAGGACTAGTGTATACCTGTTGGTTGGTCAGAAAGTTATTATATGGTGACCTTAATGATCCTCCAAAAGTTGATAGGTCTTAAGCCCAACGTAAAAGCAAACCTAGACCTCGAATCTTGTAAGCAAGCTGACTAGCACACACACACTTCACTTCACTTAACTTCAGAGTAGTTAATAAATAGAATGCACTAGGAAGTGATGTGGTGGAGGCTGACTCCATACACAGTTTCAAATGTAGATATGATAGAGCCCAGTAGGCTCACGAATCTGTACACCAGTTGATTGACAGTTGAGAGGCGGGACCAAAGAGCCAAAGCTCAACCCCCGCAAGCACAATTAGGTGAGTACACATCCAGTTCGGCGAGCACAATCGTTTCTACGCGCTGGAAAATACAGCGACAGAGGTGATCAGAAGCATATACGAATCAGAAAGAAAACAGTCGGATCAGAACCGACTAGTCTCGGGTTCGATTCTCAGAAAGCGAGACTATTGGGCACGTTTCCTTAAACCCGCGGCTGCTATTCACCTAATAGTAAATAGGCACCTGAGTCTTTCGACTGTTGTGGTTTGCATTTACTGAAAAGTCAGTCGTTGACTAGGGTAGCTTGATAAAGCTAACACACTTCTTGTGAAACCAGAGTGCGAGAAATATGTGTGAGAAAGTGTGATAGAGTACTAGGGCTTCGAAATTATATAGTTGTCCCAGACAGTACCTACTGGCGTGTGTGTATCATAGGGCAGATCTTGCTACTAGTTATGAACACACACACACACACACACACACACACACACACACACACACACACACACACACACACACACACACACATACACACACATGTGTTGTAGATATGATAGAGCCCAGTAGGCTCAGGAACCTGTACACCTGTTGATTGACGGTTGAGAGGCGGGACCAAAGACTCAGAGCTCAACCCCCGCAAGCACAATTAGCTGAGTACAATTAGGTGAATACACACACACACACACACACACATAGGGGCCTCGCGGCTGAGTGGATAGCGCTCGGGGGCCATAATCCTAAGTGCCCAGGTTAGATTCCCGGTCGAGGCTGAAACATATGGACAGAGTTTCTTTCATCCTGATGCCCTTGTTCACTTAGCATTAAATAGGTACCTGGGAGTTAGACGTCTGCTACGGGCTGCTTCCTGGGAATGTGTGTGTGTGTGTGTGTACGAATAGCATATAGTATATAAAATAGGGAAAGTAGGTTGTAAGACAGTACATTAAATACTCTCCGGTTAGAAAGGCGGGGCTCAAGAGCTAATAGCTCGATCCTGCAAGCACAAATAGGTAAATACACGTACTTACCGAGGATGCAGCCAAGTTGCTTATCCTAGGATAGACTTGCTTCAGGAATAACTGTAAAGAGTTCCCCTTGACATTTTCCTTCCAGTAGCCTCCAATTTCCAACAGGGTGATGGACCAGGAAGTACTGGCAGCCTTGTACACTGGGCAGAAGGCCAAGTGATTGGTACTGCGGATGGGAAACACGAGGTTAGGTCATATACTGACATTCTGATGTTTTGTTTAGGACCAAAAGTAACATTTTGATGTGTCTTTAGGGCCGTAGTGACAATTCGATGTATCTCTAGGACCATATAGTGACTTTTTTATGTTTCTTTAGGACCAGGTAGTGACATTCTAATGTGTATTTAGGACCATATAGGGACATTTCTGGTAGACATGTAGGACCAAAGTGATATTATGATGCTAATTTAGGGTCGTAGTAACATTCTGATGTGTATTTAGGGTCACATTAATTAATATTCTGATGTCTTGAGGACCATAGTGATATTATGATGTATATTTAGGGTCACAATGACATTCTGGAGCTAATTTAGGGTCATAGTAACATTCTGATGTGTATTTAGGGGCCATAGTAACATTCTGATGTGTATTTAGGGTCACATTAATTAATATTCTGATGTCTTGAGGACCATAGTGATATTATGATGTATATTTAGGGTCACAATGACATTCTGGAGCTAATTTAGGGTCATAGTAACATTCTGATGTGTATTTAGGGGCCATAGTAACATTCTGATGTGTATTTAGGGGCCATAGTAACATTCTGATGTGTATTTAGGGGCCATAGTAACATTCTGATGTGTATTTAGGGTCACAGTAACATTCCGATGTGTATTTAAGAAGGAAGGAAGCAATTATCAAAAGCAGGTGTCACGTCCGGAAGGCTATATAGCACCATGTGTGTCACTAAATAATCATAAGGTCTTAGATATCATTCTAGATATCTGTATGCGAGTCCTAGATATGAATACGAGATGCCAAGACAAAAGATGAGTGATATTAAAAAGAGTCAAGAGTCTCTAAAGTATATTCAAGATCGAGAGGGTTTAACCTTTACTTTAGCTAGGAAGACGAACAATGTATGAACCCATAAAAGTTATATATACTAAATAATTAAGTGAAAAAATGCAAGTATGAGTGGGGGAAACATGGGGTCGGTGTAGCTGGGGATTGGAGGGGTGACCCCTGGAAAAGATGCAGTTGGGGGTTGAGTGTTTCACGGGTGATATCATAGTTGGACTACACACAACATTTCTTCAACAGCCAGTGAACAAAAACGCTATTTTTTAACTCCCGGTTTTGACAAATACATCAGTATACATTATAATTATTGACCCTAAATTTGACAAAGGATTCAGTTCCATGAACGATGAGATAAATCTTCATTAAACACTTTAAAAGAATTCCGTGTACAAAAAAAATAAAATAAAAATCAAGTCGGCTTAAAATTGTATAGCGTATATTAACAGTGGTATAATAAACTTTCTTTCCACTGCTTTACAATGCCCATTATCATTTACAAATGGTCTGCATTGTACACAAATTACCTTCAATTACAAATGTCATGCACTGTAATGTACATGAACTATCTGTTTACATATTTGTGGATTCATATATCTTAACAGTTTAAACATCTGTGACAATATGATGGTACTAATAATTACATGATATTTATTGTATTAAAAACGTTTTAAACTTAATATATACGAGATACAGTGATACATGCCATAAGCTGATTGATATATTTGTATAAACTTTTAATAATAAATTCTGAAAGAATTTGTCATGTTTAGAAAAAGTATTATTGTCATGGACTGCGGACAAATTATGAGCATACAGTTGTCTCTGAGTGCTTGGGTATTCAGTTATATGTATTTACCTATTTGTGCCTGCAGGCTCGAGCTATTAGCCATTTGACGCTTGCTTTTCTAACCGTCTGTTGTCTAATGAACTGATTTCCTACTTATTGTCTATCATAACTGCGATATATTTTAAACAAACACACACACATCCCGGGATGCAGCTGCAGAGACGAGCATTTGCTCTTGTGTGCTCCTGCTTCATGTAATTACTTGACTGTTGTTACAAGATAAGGGCTACGCTCGTGGTGTCCCGTCTTCCCAGTACTCTTTGTATATAACACTTCGAAACCACTGATTTTTTTGGCCTCCACCATCTTCTCACTTAACTTGGTCCAACCATCTACCACTCTGTGAAAGTGAATTTTCTTATATTTCTCCGACAGCTTTGTTTAGTTTAAAACTATGTCCTCTTGTTCCTGAAATTCCAGGTCTCAGGAATTCTTCCCTATCAATTTTATCGATTCCCATTACTATTTTGTGTACGTAGTGATCATATCGCCTCTATTTCTTCTATCTTCTACTTTGGGCATATTTTATTACCTTTAACCTCTCCTCGTAGCTCTTGTCCTTCAGTTCTGGGAGTTATTTAGTTGCATGTCTTTGCACCGTTTCCAGTTTGTTATTATATGGGCAACGCACAACCGCTTCATATTCCAGGTTTGGTCTAACAAAAGTCGCGAACAATTTCTTTAGTATTTTACCATCCATGTATTGAAAAGCAATTATGAAATTGGAAAGTGTAGCATAGGCTCTTCGCAAGATGTTCGCGCGCGCGTGTGCGTGCGTGTGTGTGTGTGTGTGTGTGTGTGTGTGTGTGTGTGTGTGTGTGTGTGTGTGTGTGTGTGTGTGTGTGCGTGCGTGTGTGTGTGTGCGTGTGGGTGGGTTGTGAGAGTGTGTGTCTGGGTAAATATTGTTATCTTTTGTCCCCTGAAGGCGTGGTACACACATTCATCACCAAAAGACCTCCGCAGAGCGTCACTCATCTGAACTCGCAATATATCACCAAACAAAGACTGGGTCAAGTATAGAAAATAAAATACATTTGTGGATCTTCACAACAAGAGCTTTGTGTCAAAACAAACCTGGATGTTCCAGTATTTACTAGCAGCAAGCTGTCAGCGACCAGAGTCCATCCTACATATAAACACTATTACTACTACCACTATTAATACTACTGCTACAACTAAAAGTTCTAACAATAATACTAATAACGGAAAAGTATATATATATCTTATCAATAATAATTGAATGCTCGATTTACTAGAACAAGCTTTGCTAGAGTTCTAATATATTTTATTACAAATGCATATTTTACCGACTTTTTTTCTAGACAGAATTCGCCCAAGGTGAGGTGATACTGAAACTTACATAATTAATTCTGCATTACTTATTAACTCAGCATATAATATTCTAAACTTGTTTTTCTAGTTTGAGTTTACTGCATGCTTGAAGTCGACTGAGCTGTTTTGAGTGCTTACAGCTCACTAGAGGTTACTGTTTCACAATTTTACCAATCGACAACGATTTTAAATTTTCATATTTATCATGAGTATTATCTAGTGAGGTTTCCCCCCATTAATTATAAGTTTGCATGTTGAGTTTCCACTTACGTGTATGTGTACTCTGTGCTTACTTCTCCCTAATAAGTTACTTTTGAATTTATCTCTTCTATGTAAATGGACATTAATGTCACCTCTACTACGAAATGTATGTTGAGGTTACATTAAATACGATAAATATATGTGTTTAATATTGCAACAAAAGACTATGAATTTAAGCATCCGCTACAAGGTTTTTATAAGGAGGATAAACAACTAGTACCAGCTTACCTGTCAAAAATAATGTCTCTGGCACCTAAAAAGTCCCTTGGAGGTCCATGCATAATGCCAATGTTGCCCTCCGCAGTTAATATTTGGTTTCCGCAGCTTTTTGATACATGATTAGCTCGGCGATCTTGCTCTTCCAGAAATTTTCGCAGTGCCTGTAATAAATAAATTAGTAAATCAAACAACAGATTAGTGACAAATATTATATATATATATATATATATATATATATATATATATATATATATATATATATATATATATATATATATATATATATATATAATATATCATTTGTATATATATATATATCATTTGTATTCTTGAATATTTGCTTCTCCTACCATCCCTATTTAATTGTAAACTTTAGTGTACATAATTACAAAATATGTATAGCAAATCAGAAAAATTCTTGAATTCGTGGCCTTTTGGTCGTGGCAGTCGAGAGGCTTTAACTAACTTAGGGCTTTAATTTTGTCTCTACTAAAAACTAAGACAGAAAACGCTTTATGCACGACCACAATTTCTGTTCTTTAATTACGCGAAAATAAAACTGAACTTCGTGGTAATTCTTGCTTCTATAGCCCCAGAATATTGAAAGGCTGTTGAATAAATTAACAAACTTACAATGATCCTTGCTAACTCGGAGTTTGATAGCGTGGGTATGCAAATTCGTGTGTGCGTGCCAAATGTGTATTTTATGTGTGACGACCCGAGTTTTTTTAATTACATGCATTTGTACACGTGTGACTTTTTTTCCTGCATGCGTGTGTCTCAAAGTGTTTGGTGGCTGTGTAATAATTGTATTTTCTTCACGTGTGCTTCAACGACTTAAGAATCTTCCTTGCCTCTATCAAAAATGTTCAAGAAATATGTAAGTTTTAAATCCAAATTATATACTACCTGTGATGGGCTTAATGCCTTTCAAACTCTGAATGATGATATTAAGGCAACAACTAGTGCTTATTAACCAACTAGCACGAATACTTCAGTTCTGGACTTAATAAGGGATATAGCAAATTCTCAATGTATATATATACCGAGATGCAATATATGTATCATTTAGTGTATATAAGCGTCGGTGCTACAGGAATGTTTATTGTTTTAGATTCAGCTACTCGTAACAGAAGTTCTAAGTAGCACGGGTTATGGTGAGCCCGTAGTGGACTTTGCTACAGGAAATCTTAGCCAGTTTGTCAACTATGTCTACTGATGTAGTACAGGCATGTGTCTACTGATGCAGTACAGGCATGTGTCTACTGATGCAGTACAGGCATGTGTTTACTGATGTAGCACAGGCATGTGTCTACTGATGTAGTACAGGCATGTGTCTACTGATGTAGTACAGGCATGCTTTTGAAACCTTTCCACGGCCGTTGGCTGGGTGTGTTGTTTCCCTCTTTGGTGGGGGCGGGGTGTGGAATTTTCATGATAGACAAATGATAACTGTAACTAGTTCACCATAAATGTAAATAACTTAGTTTAATGACCGTTCGATCCCATTTCATGAACTCATTATGTAACTGAATCGTGAGAGCATCTGCCGCTGCTCACTCGATGAGATTGAGAGTTCTTAATAAATGAAGTCAAGAAATATATTTTTACATACTGAAAAATCACTAAAAGAAATACACAAACAGGAAAATACATCAATAAAAGCTTTAATAACGACATATAATTAGCACTAACAAGAAAAACAAACACAATAATATAACAATTACATCAAGAATGTCAATAACTATTTGTCAATATCAAGGAATAGAAGTATTTGGTCTGTGTTTTTCTGTAATTATTGGTATTTAAAGGAATGTTTCCATACGAGACATATACAACACAGGCTTACCACCATGACTACAACTCCACCTTCCACACGCACACCAACATAACCCCCTCTTAAACTTTTACACGCATACCAACATAGTCCCTCTTGAACTCACACGCATACAGTTGGCTTCATTCTCGTCTAATAATCAGGAATCCCGGCTTCTATTCCTGAGCGTGACTGCAATGATTAGCCATGTTTCCGTTCGCCTAATGGGTCTGTTCGCCTTGTAGTAAATATATAAGAGAGTTGAGGTGTTGCATCCTGGGGAGGGTTCGCAATTCGACCTTGGAGACGGGGGGGGGGGTCAGGATCTCGATTCAAGCGTAAACTCTAAAGTATATATACTGTATAAACACAGGTTGCCTGTCCCCGTCAAAACGATTTGTTAATTACAGTTATTGTTTCCCTTTATAAACCACCTCAGACGCATACCAATATAATCCCTTCTCAATCCTTATGCCATGGTAACATAACCCCACGCATGTGAGCCTATCTACCTACTTGTTGAAGATTCAGGGGGATCAATGTCCCCGTGGCCCGGTCTCTGTCTAGGCCTCCTGGTTGCTTATCAAATATACCAGGCTGTTTGATGCGGTTCGCAGTACGGCGTATGAGTCACAGCCTGGTTGATCAGATATCCTTTGAAGGTGCTTGTCGAGGCGCTCTTGAGCACTGCGAGAGGTCGGCCAGTTATGCCCCGTCTGTGTGGGGGAATTAAGAGTGAGCGTGTTGAAAATTCTTGGGGTCTTTGATGTGGATCGAGTTCTCTCTCAGCGTGCTGATTACACCTGTAATCTTCGTTTGGGTTATCTTTCACATTCTACCATTCCTTCTGGTCTCATGTGGCCTTATTTCTGTGTGCAGATTTGAAATTAATCCTTCTAATTTTTTTAATGTTTAAATTATAATGGATCTATAACGCTTGCGCTCTAGGAAATACAAATTGTTTTTTTAGGCGGTCCCAACAATTTAGATGATTTTTAGATGTTTATGTATTCTAGTGGTAAAGGATCTTAGCACGCTCTCCAGGTCAGCAATTTATCCAGCTTTGAATGTGGCTGTTAGTGTGCAACAATATTCCACTCTAGAGAGTATTAAAGTCTTAAAACGTATCATCATTGGCGCGGCATCTCTTGTTTGGAAAGTGCTTGTTATCTACCCTGTCATTTTTCTTGCAGTTTGATAACAAGTATCGGGAGTGTATATAACTCCAACACTAACACCAGAGTCGCACATGAACAGGATAACATGAGCAGCGTTCGGAAAACTCCCAAACGCTTGAAGAGAATTTAAAAACATAAATCAGGACTCTATCAACACAATTCTTAGAGATATGACCTACCCTAAGACCTGGCATGGTCTGTGACTTCTAAGACAGAGTCCACCTTAAGGGCTAACATGGCCACTCCTTAAGAACAAAACATGGCCCACCTGAAAACGAAACATGGCCCACTTACTCCCATATATGAACCACATCACAACTCACCAACCTACAATTTAGGTTCAGTAAAGCTATAGCGTGCTCCAATGCACACATCGTCATAAATTGGCTTAACATTATCGTAAATCTATAACTGAAGAATCATCACAATCGTCTTGAGAATGGTCCAGGGCGGACTGAAACGTCGTCGTCCCTTCACTCTCTTTAGTGTGTGGTTTGGTCTTCAATATTAACTGAAGAACATATTTTCAAACACCTATTTTTCTAAAGTGATATATTTCTATTCTATATTTACTGATCTTCTCAATGATTTAGTATTTAATCCACAGTATTTTTAATATTTATTAAAAAAAGTGACTTGATAGAGTAACTTTATTTAATGGACGAATATTTTATCTGAAGTGCTAAATTAATTACTCGTTAATTCTTCCTATTATTTGATAATGTTTATCGCATATAACTTGTCCTCTCATTTAATTCGCAGTAATTTTCACGCTTTAGTGAACTTGAAAGCACACAATAAGAAAAATAATTATACGAAGCACTGAAAAAAAATGAAAAAACTCAATAGAAAACAAATCCCCAATTTAAGACTTCATGAAAATCGCAGGGGATCGGTTTAGATGCCGATATTTCTAAGAGGGCAACACCAAGGCCGACCCCGACCAGCCTATAACACTGCCATAACTCCCATATGTCATCTTGGCAAGTTAGGTGAGGCTAGCCTTAAGCCATTGGCTTCCAGCCTCGGACAGACCAATGACAGGTATTCTCTTTCATAACTATAGGAAATATGAGTTTGCTTTGCATTGCTTTTTCACCTATTTAGTGCAACCAGAAATGTAACGTTTCATATAAGTTGATATGAATATAGCCAAATTCTGCATTGCGACATCCACCTGCAGTCTGCTTCCTAGACTCAAATATTTAGGTCAGATGAGCACCGCCAAAGTATGTAACAATAGAAACCAAGAGGATAAAAACTGCTCACCTGCGTCAGGTTGCACAACATAAAGCTAGATATCTCGATAACCTTGACAAAGATATAGACATGATGTGTGGCCAGAGGGTGTAGAAAATTCCTACGGTATACAAACTCCAGCGCTATTATTCAGCAAACTGAACAGATAACCATGAATATGTCAGTACACACACACATATCACTCCCAAGCTGATAAAAACTGGTTAGATGAGTGCCGTGGGAAAACAGTACAGTGCACATTGCTCATTCCAACCAGACTCATCATATATTATTCGTAGATTGCGGCTTGGAAACCCGTATATTCTCTCGGAACTATGATTCATATACGTTATTTGAAGAATGTTTCATTAATACAATGAATATAAATATTATTTTGTATGACGAAATGCAGCATTTATTTATTTAATGAATTATATTCAAGAAGGTTGTGAAAGTGCATGTGTGGTTGATTTAATGGCACATTCTTGCAAAGCCATTAACACGCATAACGTTTCGGCCCGGTCTTGAAGCACCCAATCAAGTGTAATGATAAATACTCCGAAACAAAATTTAAATTAACGTAATAACTACCTTACCATAAAGTGATAAAATAAACTATACTGATGACGTTGCAGTCCTACGTTACAATACAAGGGAATAGATAACACAAGACATTGAGCGAGTCGCACAAGGTAGGATATTATGAAGATATCAAATATTTCATTGTTTTACTTTTGAATAAATGATATAGGTTGGACAATTTTTTAATTCACTAGGGAGTGAGTTCTATATATTAGGTTCTTTTAGGAGCAGAACAGGTTAGCATAGATTTAGTCTGACTCATGAGACTTTGATAATCCAGTAGTTAACTGGGAAAGTACTCTGTAATGATATAATATTAACTTAATGCTAAAAGTTGGTCTGCATCTAATATAACAACGATCTCCGGGAGCTGCGTGACAATATGTTTGACTTTGTTTCCCTTCAAACAAAAAAACCTCTTAGTACGCAGCCGAGAATATGAAGGTAGTAGTGTTGGTTAAGTAATTACATTTGAAAAGTAAAATTCTATCTATAACATCTAAAAGTCCTTGATTACTCTATATAAATAAGAATATAGAATCCTCGCGGTATTTATCCGAAAACCTATAAACAAATACTTTTTAAAAATTAAGGATCGAGGTAATGAAGGACAATTACAAGCCTCGATCAGTAACGACGCAAAGATATTTAAATTATCGGTGAGTAACAGCGAGTGGTGTGGCACAGAGAAGCTTGGCTAACGTGAAAAAAAAAACAATAACATTCTTTCATGAGATAAAAAGATAGAGGAAATTTTGCGAATATTCAGAAACATTCAAAGCAACAACCAATCCGTGGCCAATGAATTTCAGTACATAGGCTTCATGTTAATTATGTAAATTATCATCGATAAATGCAAATTTAAAAAAAAAACACTTACAAAGTCAAAGGAAAGTAATGGCCTTGGAGGGGTCATTAGTAACGATCTCACGAACACAAACACAGTCCAACAGTGAGAAAGAAAGCCAACAGCGTGCTGAGTTTCTTCGCTATAAATTTCAAGCACAAAACGCCATTAATGATATGGACTTCATACAGACCTTTGGGAAGTAGCTCACCAAATATTTAGATATCATAAATTTCAATTAGATGCGGTACCAAAGATCACTTTTTGCGGTGGAGATAAAATCAGCAGCAGTGATGGATGTGATCAAGGGTATTGTAGTGGTAGGATCATCACACAATATTATATATATATATATATATATATATATATATATATATATATATATATATATATATATATATATATATATATATATATATATATAGGGAGTGATATATATATATATAGGGATTGATATATATATATATATATATATATATATATATATATATATTATATATATATATATATATATATATATATATATATATAGGGAGTGATATATATATATATATATATATATATATATATATATATATATATATATATATATATATATATATATATAATATATATGTATATAAGTATACATGATGGTTGGCATGTCAGCAGGTGTGGTTGCCTTAATAATGCTCTAGAGGTTGATATGCTTGAATCCCATCACCAAACCAAGCAGCATCGTCAGCAATAGTGGTAGTAGTAATAATTGTAGTTACGCAAGAAGCAAGAGAAGCAGGCCTAGCTGTTGCTTCATGCAAAATATTCCTACCAGAAATGTAAACCAGAATGAAGAGAGAGTAGGGAGAGATCCTTTTGTTTTTCTTTCAATATGTCGCCTGGTTAGATATGATACGCAGCCTTCCTTTAGAGCTGTGATCCTCAACTGGTGAGTCGCAGAACCTAAATTCTGAGTACTAGTGCATCCGAATCAAGAATAGCAAGTGGTGAATATCCTGATTAGGATTTTTTTATATATTACTGAAGTGTGGCAAGGAAGTGGGTGTTGCAGTGTATTAGAAAACAAAAAAAAAGTATTTTTGAGTATTAGAAAACAAAAAAAAAGTATTTTTGAGTATTAGAAAACAAAAAAAAAGTATTTTTAAGTATTAGAAAACAGAGCCACGAGTCCAAAAAAGGTTGGGAGGTTCCCCTTACCCAAGACACTCATTTTTCTTTCTCCCATATATAAAAAAATAATTGCTAATCCCACGTTTTCCTTTTTTCTACATCATTAAAAAGTATGTATTTTTCATCCGTTTGTTTTCAATATATAAAAAACTATACTTTACAGCCACGTGTGTGGCTTGGTTGTTCCTTTAGTGTTTGAGCTTCAGAGCTTGAGTTTGAGCTTCAGAGCTTGAGTTTGAGCTTTAGTGTTTGAGCTTCAGTTGGTGAAGTCACCAACTTCACCCAACAACATGCAAGTCTCTGAGCGGACAAGACGCATTTTGCAATGAACACCCCACACCCCCAATTCCCCCATCGTCTCCCCTACCCCTCTACCCAACAACACCCCCCCCTCACCCAACTCCTCCCACCCTCAACTATCACCACAACACCAAGCACCCCCAAACACCATCCCACCCTCCCATTCCTCACCCGACGTAATGAGTGAGTCTAGCGCTGTACAGATATAGACATTGATCGTAGCCAGCACACAACTTCAAGTGTTATAAATAAACTTTAACTAAAATTATAGCACTCTCTCTCTCTCTCTCTCTCTCTCTCTCTCTCTCTCTCTCTCTCTCTCTCTCTCTCTCTCTCTCTCTCTCTTCTGTCCCACATGCAATATTCGACCTCACAACGAGATATGATCAAGACGTACAAGATTCTCGGGAGAATGACAATGTAGACATACTAGATTTAATGTTAGATTTAATCATCGAAAGATTAACGTTTTAACATATGATAAAAGACGACACCTAGCCTATTAGACCTTGTTTTCATACAGAATGAAGAAGACGAGAGACAGACAGACAGACATAGAGATATTTCAAAACTTATTAAACTCCAAGATAAATGTATGAAAGTAAGAAGTTCGCTCTAGAGCTAGAGTAAGGAGCAAGGTAAGACTTACCGACGTTTTGGGGAATGCAAGAGCTCTCTCTCTGAGCGCCTGCGCTGTGTACTTGGGCGATGGGGGCTGCCGTTGGCTGATAATCACTTGCCTTTCTCGGTGCTCGTCAAGATTATTCCTGGTAGTGATTGGGTTGATCTTCTTCACCTCGACGAAGTTCTCTGGGGTGAATTCTTCCATATAAGGTCCTTGCACCATCTCAATCTCCCTGTCTGAGAGTACTGCTCTCTCTGCTGTTTCCTCAAATGCTTGTTCCTCGTGAGATTTCTTCGGCCTCGGATCATTCTTGGACTTAATTGGAAAAGTATCCCTCGTTGCTATAATTTCTTTCTGCAGCCTTTCAGCTATGGGGCCCTTTTCAATGTGCTCTTTAGCGTACGTTTCCTTTGTTCTCATTTCCAGCCAGGCTGCGTATTTTCCCCCATCGACCTTCCGCAGGGAGGTAACGGGCTGTTGGAGGGGTTCCACACGTTCTTCATCAGCACCAGCCGTCGCCACCAGATAGAGGGAAGGATTATCCCGTCTGGGGAGTTTCTCTAGGAGACGTGTGTGGTGAGCAGGAGGTGGAGAGTTCAGAAGTAACACAGCCAGCGTCAGCAACACCATCAGGAGCGCCACGCTACGGAGGCGGAGTCTCGGCAACTTCATTACCGCCTGTTAAAAAAAAAAATAGTGCGTGCTGGAATTAATTTGATTCTTTAGGAAAAATTCTCATAATGTTATGTAAACACACCAATTGCTTTCACTGATCTTCAGTGGGTTATAAATAATAAAAATTAGTAAATGATTTGCAAATATTAAATATTATTACAATCTATGTTAGTTTAGTGTGGACTAAACCAGTGATGACGAACCCTCAACACTATAGTGTTGAAGTTTTTGCATAGAATAAACATTAGTTTAAATCAATGATTAGTGAGAAAATTATAAGAAAAAGAAAAGATAAAAAGAATTTTTAATATTATAAAAACATAATTAAACTTGAACATTAATGGTGAGTTTAGGAATTCTTAAATAACAAATTACAAAAAAGTGCAGACAATTTGAATGGATGTCTTAGTAATTTTCAATATCAATGGATGTCTTAGTAATTTTCAACATCAATGTTGTAATAAATTCTATATGAAATAAGAAATCAACTGTTATTAACTACTGACTAACTAATTTTTTCCACACATACACAAGAAGCAGCCCGTAACAGCTCTCTAACTCCAAGGTACCTATTTACTGCTAGGTGAAAGAAACTCCACCCATTTTGTTTCTGCCATCAGCGGAGATCGAACCCGGACCCTAGGACTACGAGTCCAGAACGCTGTCCATTCATCTATCAGGTCCCCCAGCATGTTGTAACTAGACTGGTTTATCAGTGCAGAGAGAGAGACTCCGTGCTCTCAAGGCTGTGGCAAGTTAACACCCCAGCTATGGCGCGCAAATGTGAGAATTGCCAAAATGATTAATTTCCTATATATTAGATCTCTTTGCGATATTGCTGCACGCATGCTTGCTCTAGTGCCCGATAGATCCCGTGGAGAGCTGGAAAAGATGCAAAACGAAGCTATGAGGATTATCCTCGGATGCCCCCATACAACTAACTTGTTTAGCTTGATGAATTGTGGGGTTCAGTTCCTGAACCCATTATGTGCCTCTGTAACCCTTTCCACCACCGCCCACGGTGGTAAAAAGTGGTTATAATGCACCCCATAATTTTTGGCTGCACTATAAATAATTAAAATAAATAAAATATGATGATTGAAGTGCTTGGCAATTATAGTAATACGTGCACGAAAGAGAACTTGAGAATTTTTTAATGAATTGTTGAATTAATGAATTAGCTAAGTGAATGAGCATTCACTTAACCCATGCATCAACCAGGATACATATTCAACACCAACCTGACTGACGAGCCCTTTCATTCCTTGATAAAGCAGTTAGGTTAATTATCCTGTCTTTACATAGACTTCGACCTTTAAGACCTGAACAGAGAGCAGTGTGTCCTGCGCATGCTCACTGTCATCTTTATGCTGGGACAATTGTGGCAGCGTCCACTGAGAAGGATAGATACAGTCAGTCGAGTACAGAGTGATCACTGAGGTAGGTGTTTTCAGGTAACCCATCGCCGACTCTCTTAAGTACAAGTCCCTGTTCCAGTGGGCGCCGACTTTCTCAAGTACAAGTCCTTGTTCCAGTGGGCGCCGACTCTCTCAAGTACAAGTTCCTGTTCCAGTGGGCACAATATACACGTTGGAACACAGCTGATAACATTAATTGAACGTTATTCTTGGATATTGTACCACTGGGGGTACCTCCGTATCTCTCAAGTGGTACACTGGTGTATATGGGCGAAAGGTGCTTAGATATACAGGGGAGAGAAGCCGGACATTATGCCGGTATTGATGGTTTGAGTGACAAATCTCTCCACCACATGACAAACCCACACTTGCTCCATCAGGTAACCATCCATCGAGGGAGACTATGTTGATTTAGGAGCCTCGACGAGACAGTTATCGTATGTGCGACGGTGTTCCTGTGTCGGGGGAAAACTCAAAGCCTTGCGGATGGTAAACACGCTGTTCCACAGATATTTTGGGGACCCCGGCAAGCACCGGACACCCAGCCCACACAGATAACCAACTGAAAGGCTGTCTACGGACACCCAGCGATCACATTGATTGATGAAGATTAAGCCACCCAAAAGGTGGCACGGGCATGAATTGCCCCGTAAGTGGTGGCCCTTTGGAGCCATTACCAGTATCAATAGATGATACTGGAGATCTGTGGAGGTGCAACTGCACCCTGCGTGACGGGAGATGTCTTCCGTGAGCGATTACATACGCTAGAAGGAACAGCCGACAGACATCCGGCGAGCTGTGGATAGTCGAGTAAATGTCGTAGCGGAACGGCGGAGTTGTCCCTTGACTCGAAGTCCAGTTTGGCAAAAAGACAGCAACGCTTTCCAGACTTACGGCGGAGCCAGAACTATGACGCCCAGCACGCCCCGAGGGGCAACACCCGGGGCTCACCGAGACCCGCGGCCGACGTCTTAAAATGTAACAAAAAAAAGTGGGAAAATCTATCAACACACCTGTGGCCATAGGCGTAGATTTCACCGACCGGCATGGCTCGCATCGCCAAGAACATGTCTTCGTTAAGAATTTTTCGTCTACTGCCAGACGAGGTCACGTCGTCTCTACCTCGACATGAATAATAAATTTCCTCCCAGCTATCATATCCAGCTGAATAATTAACCTCTAGCATTTATTTAATTCAAGTTTAATATAATATGTTATTTACAAATGACTATTAACTTAATTTGAATTTGTTCAAAGGGATTAAAAAATAAGGCTTATTAACTTTTGAATAAAATTTGTTTTAATTAATTCATAACTGAAAAATACTTGCGTTAGATATAAAAGTTAATGTACTGCGCACCTAAATTTGTAACCAGTTCCAGGCATAACTATATTACAGCCAAAATGTGTCATAACACATTTTGGCAATGTTGTTTTCGTGCTGGAAGATATATAGATCTCATTATAGACTAGTGATGATCTTACAGGTAACCAAGATGTATCTGCGACATCTTCAGTCGCCAGTGGCAGTGTTGGTGGGGAAGGTGGTGCTGGTGGTGCTGGTGGTGGCGTTGGTCACTACAGAGAAGGAAGCAGAGGCGTCAACAGAACATATATACAAGATCCTCTACGAGGGAACACAGATGATAAGTGCATCCTACACCTTCCAGGGACGACTCTCCAAGATCATGTAATTTGGACAATTTGGCGATCAACCTAATATACATAACTTATTACAGTCGTAACAAGCTTAGAGCCAAGCTACGGATTCTTAAAGTCTTAAATAGCTTGGCCCATACGAGGCAGCTCCTATTTATATCCACCCAATCCCATTCAAATATATGCCTAACCTACGCTTGAAACAATCAAGGCTTCCTATACTTCTATTTTGTTATGCGGTAGGAATGAGACCAATAGGGTACGACAATTTGTTTCAACCATCAAAGCGAAGCTCCGTCCGGTTCACAACCTGTATGTACTAAAATATAGTCATCCAGTCAGAAATAATCAGTATTTTGTACATGTATTAATCTTTTTTCGTATCACTGGCTCGAAACGTGCTTCTTTCACTTGCTTTCCCGTATTGTAAACACTTTGTAAATCAGTTGTTCTCAAGGTGGTCCACGGGTGAGCGGTGTTCTCTCTAGTATGTATATGTTCCAAGGATGCTCTAGTGTGTATATGTTCCAAGGATGCTCTAGTGTGTATATGTTCCAAGGATGCTCTAGTATGTATATGTTCCAAGGATGCTCTAGTGTGCATATGTTCCAAGGTTGTTCTAGTGTGTAGATGTTTCAGAGTTGCTCTGTTGTATATATTTTCCAAGGCTGTTCAGATATTCACACACCAGAGCTACCATAGGACATACTCATATTAAAGAGTTCCCCATGAAACAGCAGTTGTGAACCAAAACACCTTACCTAACTTTACCTAGGTCTAACTCCCCATATAATGCAATAACAATTTAAATCTTAGAAAATTCCAATTTTAGTTATATTTTTGGAAACAATACATTGTCATTCAGTAGCCAAATGTATTATTCAAACATAAAATTATTATCGCAAGTGCTAATAAATTCATAGGGGATACTTATCAAGTGTGGAGTAATTAGCATTCGTTGTTCGTCAGATGTGAGGTAATTAACAGGTGTACTACCACAGATGTGAGATAATTAACAGGAGTACTACCACTATCAGCGACGAGGAATTAGCTAGCTCATCTGTTCAGGTGCTGGGTAATTAATAAACATTGTCATATATGCTGTGATTAGCAAACATTGGGTCTGGTATGATGTAATTTGCAAACATTAGGTCAGGTATGACGTAATTAGTAAACACTGGATCAGGTATGACGTAATGAGCGAATTTTAGGTCAGGTATGACGTAATTAGCGAACTTTGGGTCATGTATGACGTAATTAGCAAACTTTGGGTAGGTATGACGTAATTAGCGAACTTTGGCTCAGGTATGACGTAATTAGCGAACTTTGGGTCAGGTATGACGTAATTAGCGAACTTTGGCTCAGGTATGACGTAATTAGCGAACTTTGGCTCAGGTATGACGTAATTAGCGAACTTTGGCTCAGGTATGACGTAATTAGCGAACTTTGGGTCAGGTATGACGTAATTAGCGAACTTTGGCTCAGGTATGACGTAATTAGCGAACTTTGGCTCATGTATGACGTAATTAGCGAACTTTGGCTCAGGTATGACGTAATTAGTAAACTTTGGCTCAGGTATGACGTAATTAACAAACTTTGGGTTAGGTATAACGTAATTAAAAAGCGTTCCTTCGAGGTATATTGTGTCTTACACAGGTTTCCTTGCAGGTGCAGCAGTACCTGCCACCAGCGTCAGGTCAGCTGCTGGGTGTTCACCTGGGACCTGATCACCTATGACTGTCACCTCCTGGTTAATCTAACAGCGCTGATCACCTTAGCCCCAGCACCCGCCTCCCTCCTCACCTACTACGTCTACACCCACAATCACCTCACCTACTTTAGGACACCTTCTAGCGGCACCTGGCAGGCTGGAGAGACGGCCTGTCAAGCAAAAGGTGGTCACCTAGGCGTGCCACCTGACTCCACCTATGCCTTCGTCCTGCACCACCTCTTCCAGGCTGATATCCTCTTCATGGGCATCAAACGCAAGGGCACGTCGACCACCTGGTTGGACCTAGATGGCAACCCAATCAAGCAGTTCCCGGCTTGGTACCCAGGGGAACCCAACGACTTAAACGGGAATCAGAATATCCTTGTGAGCTGGACTGGGTTGTCCTCTGACTACTGGGACTACGAAATCTTCTATGGTGTTTGCTCACACTGAGTACCTTACCTACCCTCTCGTCCTCAACTACCTCTCTTCCTCTCACCTTTTCCATTGTACCCCCTGTCGGAAAATCCGACACCATTTAATAATCATACAGATAATAGCTGTATTACCAACAAGTTACCCATAGAAAACGTAACTTGTAGTGGAATTACCATCTAAAGAAAACGGGATATCATCACCACATACTATTATAATTCACCAGCTATTCTGCTGGGAATTATTCTTAAATACATTAGTCTTTGGACTTTACCATCATAAAAACATCTTATATAAATTAACTTAATTATCAATATTAAAGTAGAGTAAATGTGACCCTTCTATCACTTTCTGAAATCTGGACAAAGTAGGCCAGGCGTCTGGGGGGAAGGAGGGCAGCCATTGTTTTATACGAGACCAGAGGCTCACACGGGAGCAAATTCGGCTCCTGTTAATTTTACTTGGACGTAGTGTTATGGATACCAAAGGTGTACCATCTGTCAACACGCTGTCAACAAATCAAGTTAAGTGTTCTTTCCGAAACCCATTATTTATCATTAGTGGCCATTAATGTCATTATATAGGGTGACCCGGTTAGATCACATGGAAGCCTCAAACTAAAGGTAATTAAGCCAGGTCTTCATGTTCCATGTACTGTTTTCTCTGATATACTTGTCATATATAGGTATCTGGCTTCACAGCTAGCGCACTTTTGACAGGTCAAGACGAGGATGCAAGATTTTGTGCATCAGTTACTGGGTGATATGGAAGCTACCTCAAAGAGGATAATTTGGTGTCTACACCCTAGTTATACCTGGTGGACTAACCTGCTGTACTATAAGATAAGGAACCTCATCAATGTATGTAGCTATTACTGTAGTTTGATTGGCTGCATATATATAAACTAATAAACCCCCCCTAATGTGTAGAGGATCGATTTGTGAGATTATGAGATTATTGCAGAAATACAGTCCACTCATTATTATACAAATTGCTATCGAAGTATATAAATTAACGTAAATATAAATTCATATAAATTAAATAAATATAAATCTCACAGGTCGGTTCCCACATTATTTGGTCCTTCGAAACCGAATTATTTGGACCTTCGGAACCGGAATATTCGGTCCTATGAACCCACATTTGGTCATCTTAGTACCGGATGAACCAGTTAACCAGTGGATTCATTAAATATACTAGTGCAGTGTTATTTAAACAAAGCCAGTCAAGACAGCGGCGTTGCCTCGTGGGAGCTCAGGAGCCTCCCTCAGCCCAGTTCAGCTTCGTCAGCGGTTTCATGCACACCCACAGATATTTGGTGGCGTGTTATTTCGTGAAATGACAGCGCTAATATAGAAGCCAGCCTAATTAGTGACTGTGTCTTCGCGATATTGTTCACGGATTTCGTGGTGTTACATTTCGCGAGAGATTATCTACGAATTTTGTGGACTTTATTTCGCGAGGTCACCAATAATATTTAATACTTCTAGATAATATTAGAAGTTTCATAGAGGCTAATTAAGAGGCTATTATCAATAATTGTGTATATTATTTCTCCAAAATAGAGAATTATTTAATATAAATTGCACTAGTGATCACAGTATATTTACTAATTGCCAACCCACAACAGGGTAGGATATGACTAGTTGAAATATTATCGTTCATCCTAGTCCCATTATTACCATAGTCAGTTGTACTATATTGAACAACCTAACACCATTAATGAATGGTCCAGACCCTATTTTGGGTGTAATTTTTATCAACTCGAGTTGAGTTGTATATATAATAAATTACTTATGATCATTACACCTTTGAGTGATTAATTAGTGTCTCTACCATCCTAGGGTGATATAGAAGAGCTAACCTAAAGGTACTTCCAGTGACACTGGTTTATCACTCAAATCATTAGTGTGTATGATTGCATATATATAATGTGTATTAATTTTAAGTGCTAACCTCTAGTAGAGGTAGGATTATTGCCTAGTGAGTGCATTTTACCCTAGGCTATCATTAGAGTTTGTTCAGTATTATGAGCAGCCCAAGTACAAGTCCCACAAGGCTTCACCAACTAGCCAGTATGGATAATGCAGGGAGAATGAAAAGAACCCTTGCAGGTCTTAAAGGCCACTTAACAAGACAGATCAAGAAATGTGAAGATTTGTCACAACAATCACCAGTTGATTATGCTGACCTGGAAAGCTATTATCAAGCAGCTGCAGGTAAATTTGAGCAAATCAAATGTCAAATAGCAACATATGTGGCTGAACTTGCCAACACCAATTTATCAGAAACAGAAATAGACGACATTATGGTTGATCTTGCGAATTATGAAGATCACACTCAGGCCACGTTACAGCCTTATGTCAAATTAATTGCCCAGAACAAGGCAACAGCAACAACAACAACAGTTGCATCTAATACGAGTCAAGCAGAAGCTCGACTCCCTCCAATTAATTTACCCACTTTCTCAGGAAAAGATGAGGAAGATTGGGACGAATTTTGGAACAAATTCGTTGACCTTGTAGACTCAAAACAATCTTTACCAAAGAGTAGTAAATTCTCTTATTTGCAAGGCCAATTATCAGGTGAGGCTAAAACAGTAGTATCCCATCTGAGATTAACTAATGACGGCTATGATCTGGCAGTAAAACTCCTCAAGGATAATTATGCTGATCCAGAAGTAAGAACATCACATTTAGTTCATGAGCTGTTGCATTTACCCCCACCGGAGGCTTCAGCTGATTCACTCAAAGTCTTCAAGCTGGAGGTAGAATCATTGATCAATGCCCTCAGCCTGACAGCAGATACAAACGGGGCTGAGTGGGTCTTGAAAATAATTGTCCAGGAGAAAATACCTAGGGACATATTGAGACAAATGAGTGCTCATTACAATAAAAGCATCTTATCCATGAATGAAATATCTGAAGGTTTAAAGTCAGTAGTTCATCAATTACGAACACATGACAAATTAAAACCACCAAGTAAACCCTCAGAAACCAATAATAGTAAACCACAGAGTACCAAAGGTACTCCAACTCAATCTAGACAATATAATTCAACACCAAAGTGGAACAGTAGCAGTGTGGGCGTATATGCAGTGGGACCCTCCAAGCCTATAGTTACTGTGTCACCCAAGAACGTGACACCAAAGGGTACTGGAAGCTATGGAACATGTTTGTTCTGCAATGAGAAACATTCAATGTACCACTGCCCTAATTATCCTGATAGTGACGCCCGTGTTGAGCGACTCAAAGATTTGCAACATTGCACGAGGTGCCTCAGGAAACATAACATCAACGACTGTGATACCCAATTACACACCTGTAATAGGTGTAACAAAGGTCAGCACCATGCAGCATTGTGCAGAGACACCAAAACAACGTCTCCAAACCCCAAGGTGGAAGATAGCATTCCCACCACAGTACAGTACTGCAAGGTGCAACAAACAAAGAGTGTCCAATCAGCAAAGTCTAAAGGTAATACGACTTTGCCTACTGCCCAAATTACCATCCTGAATAAGAGGGCCAAGGTCCATACCCGTGGGTTGTTTGACCAAGGATCCCAGAGAACATATATCACTAAAAGGCTGGCAGATGAATTACAATTAAGGCCTGTAGCCCAGATGTCATTCAACATCTCAGGGTTTGTAACAGATGCAGGACCTCAAGTCTACCAGGTGGTACAACCATCAGTACGTTTAGGCAGGTACGTCTGTCGAGTACAAGCCATTGTGGTGGACAAAATACCAGTAGACCTACAAGTTCAAGGTCTGAGAGCAACAGCCAAATTCCTGAGAAATAGAGGAATAAAATTGGCAGATAATATTAAGTCTGATCACCTCAACGACTTCGGTCTCCTTGTAGGGACAGACTATTGCCATCGATTCATTGGTAGCCCTACTAAATATCAGGGTATAACCATGTTAAACTCTGCAGGAGGTAAATTACTCTCAGGCCCAGTATCAAGCCTGAGGAGACCTATGCCTGCAGATAAACAATACCAATAGAAATCTAAATTTGTCAGCTGATTATATTTCTCCAGTAGCATTATACTAAGGAGATTACAGCTGACTATAGTAACAGAGGTTGATGTTAGTATCATCATTTAAAGCTGAAGATGAGTTCATGAGGCCTCAGTGGCAAATCAGTGAACAGTAGCCTAAAACAGCTACAAGTCACTGCGACCAATGTCACTGAACCCACTGCAGTCTCAGAACCATACTTTACTTTAATGATGAGCTATTCAATCTTCTGAATCAATTAACTAAATTAAACCCCAATAAATCTGATGACTGATTTGATACATTTATTATTTAATCAAGATGTATTCCATGGGCCTCAGTGTTTACATATCAGTGACCAGTTACCTGAAGAAACTTCAAGTTATATCTAATGTCACTGATCTCACTGCAGTCCCTGAATCATACTTGACTGTAGTACTTGATCTCATCCAGTCTTCTGGGTTAAATAATATGTAATAAGGCTTGAATATTAGCCTTTCAAGAGTTGACAGGGAAATGAATTCGCATTAGACTTCTAACCCCTGCCACTCTAGTACGGGACATCCGTCCTGTACGAACAGACACACAAATGTGTGATTATTAACTACTAACATCAAATTAATCTAATAATTCGAAGGAGGAGTATCGGTGTTCGTCTGTTCTAATTAGGACTTCGACCCGTGAGCAGCCCCCTGGGGAATTATGTCGGAAAATCCGACACCATTTAATAATCATACAGATAATAGCTGTATTACCAACAAGTTACCCATAGAAAACGTAACTTGTAGTGGAATTACCATCTAAAGAAAACGGGATATCATCACCACATACTATTATAATTCACCAGCTATTCTGCTGGGAATTATTCTTAAATACATTAGTCTTTGGACTTTACCATCATAAAAACATCTTATATAAATTAACTTAATTATCAATATTAAAGTAGAGTAAATGTGACCCTTCTATCACTTTCTGAAATCTGGACAAAGTAGGCCAGGCGTCTGGGGGGAAGGAGGGCAGCCATTGTTTTATACGAGACCAGAGGCTCACACGGGAGCAAATTCGGCTCCTGTTAATTTT